TTGCCGACTAATATTATTTTTGGTAGCCAATTCCGTGACTTTTGGCGACTAAATTGTTTTTGGTAGCCAAAAATGGTCGGCAAAAATGCATTTTCTTGTAGTGTTATCGATACTACGGCAAATGCGGGTGATTCTATTTGCACCCAAATAATAACTCAATATGTCCAATTAAAATTTTGAAATTTTAATTCTAATTATATCTTAATATAAATTTACTAATAAAAACAATAAACATTAAACCCTAAAATACAATATTTTAGTTTTTTTTCGTGGTACACCCTTATCATTCATTCGTATTCTTCATATTATATTCCAAGTTCTAATTATTTTCTCTTCATTTTGTTCCTCACCATTATCATCAATATCATTATTTTTTATTATGATGTTATTTATAAATAGAAAAAAATTTAAATAAAATTAAATAATGAATAAAAATAATAGTCAAAAAATGTTTTGAAACAATCTATCACCCAATTATGTATGTATTCAGATCATTAGGACTAAAAATGATTAGCGGCAGAAAATGGTTGAGAAGTACACAAAAAAAAAAACCCAAAAGCTTACTGCTTGATTGGTTAGTAAATGATTCACTCATTATCTTTATATATTTCTTTTGCTTTGTTTATCAATATATAGAATGAAAACCAATTGTGGTGTTGGTTGTGCGTTGAATGTGTATTGCTTCGTAGTGGAAACTCAAAACAACATTTCATCTATCTTTTTATTTTTTTTTGATACCCATTTACTTTTTTATTGATGTTTAGAGATTTTAACAAGTCAAGGGTGTAGGGACATAATTTTTGAATAATAACACGTGACTGATGTGGTACTGGAGTGCCAGTCGAGGTGCCACGTCTCTTAGACATGACGTCGAGATAATCTCGGCTAGGCCGAGGTTATCTGCAAAGATACCGAAATCCGGGATAAGCGAACAAGGGAAAAGAGTCCTAGAATAAGAGACGACTTCAGTTTGGATAAAGATAAGATTCTTAGAGAGTTTATCCCAATCTAAATGGGAGTCCAGGACTAGCATTGAGCCAGAGTCCATTGAAGGTAGGCTTTTATTGGGATTAGGTCAGTGTTGGCTATAAAAGAGAGGCACCCTCGTGGGTCTAAGGTACGCTTTTTATATTCTGCACTTTTGTTATTTTTGAGAGATAACTGACTTGATCGTCGGAGTACCCCCAGTTAGACGAACCATCACTGGAATCTTTTCTTTTTGTTGATAGGTCGTTCGGGCTTAATCTATTATGCCAGTGTTCTCTAGTTGAGTACCTATTTGGTAGTGTGGTAAAAAATTGACACACACAATTTGGCGCCGTCTGTGGGAAAAAAAAGAAGAATTGATGGCCAACAATGGACGAAAAGAAAAGGTTGGGGACGATATCCCTACTGGGAGTGGTAAACATATTGACCTTAACGTCGAGGAAGATAAATGCAACGAAAAAACTCGGGATCCGAATCTCGGAGAGAAAGACGTCGGCAAGGAAGGCGACGTACCAAAGAAATCAGACCGCAGTGGGTATTATCACGAGGATGACCTCTAGGTATGGAAAGATAGATACCTGCGGAAGGATGAAGAGATGAAGGGAATGACAAACAAATTGGCGGACTTGCAAACGGTCGTCAATTTCATGATGTAGAACAACGTCATGCAGCCACCATTCTCATTACAAGATACGCTGATTCCAGCGGCCAAGAACAATACCCAGAAGGGAGGGCAGAAAACAGTTCCAGTAGCCCCCCAGCATACCAGGATCAAGGAACACTCTCACCGGCCTTTGAGGGAGGTCGGGCGAGGAGAATTAATGAAGGGAGATTCACGGAGGACGCATCGAACAAAAGAAGCTGACCCCAAAGAACATTGGCATGTTCAAGGAAAGGAACCACGTTTCGACGCAACTAACGGAGAGAGGTCCAAGAGGACTCACAATGACACCGGAAGCAGCGCACCGAAAAGGCTAAAATCCAGAGATAGCCGAGCTCCCAGACGGACCAAGGAGGATTTGAGGGATTACGTCCAGAGGAAGCAACAAAATGCCAAGGTAACCTCCCTGGTTAAGTCGAGAATGCCGTTCTCGGTAGAGTTGGACAAATTCGAGGCCCCGAAAAGGTTTAGTATGCCGAGGTTCCAGATATACGACGGTAAGTCGGACCCCAACTTTCACGTTGGCCTGTACCTGAACTCAATGGCACTATACACTGGGAACGACTCGTTACTTTGTAAGGTGTTCCCCTCGTCCTTCGGTGAAATAGCATCAGACTGGTTTCACAAGTTGCCGAAAGGAACTGTGAAAACCTTGGAAGGCCTAGTCAAGATGTTTGTAGCTAGGTTTGTGACAAACAAGTTACAACCATTAAGGGTGGACTCCCTGATGGCTCTGAGAATCAACAAGGATAAAATCCTTAAGGCCTATGCCAAGAGGTACTATAAGGTATTCAACCGGATACTAGGATACAACCAAGAGGTGACAGTTGTATCTTTTAAGAACGGCCTGGAAGATGATTGTTTGCTTCGAAAATCATTGGCAAAGACACTGCCAAAAAGTATGGAGGAACTGATGGCCAGAATTGAGAAATATGCGAGGGTCAAAGAAGACACGCCGGGGACAAAGGCTTCGAAACAAGAGAAGGGAAACGAGGTAATGGCGGATACAATAAGCCAAAAACAGAACTAGGGGCTGCACAGGTAGTCACAATCGTATTCCGAATCCCAATTTACAAAGTCTTAGAGAAAATCCGAAATCAGCCTTATTATAGAGCACCAGTAAGGGGCCCTGGTGAATTTATAGGAAGAAGCCTTGGCAAGCACTGTGCTTACCACAACGAAGATGGGCATCTAACTCAGGGGTGTAGAGCCCTGAAGGCACATCTAGAAGACCTAGTAAGACAAGGTCATTTAAGGAACCTTGTAGACGAGGCCAGGACAAGGGAAGAGCAAACATGACTGCCTCCAGCACCGGCAGCATCGCCTCCTCTAGCACCCAAACCGCAAGCAGGCGGACCTCGAGCGATCAATGTCATTCATTCGAAAGTCAATGAGAACGAAATACGTGGGGAGACTCAGAAAGTAAAACACTTACAGCATGTGTACCAGGTCAGGCAGAAAAGACTTAGGGCAGACGAGTGCTAGGGACTAGTGGTGTCCTTTACTGAAGAGGACCCGGAATCAGAACCCAGGGAGTAGAAAATGGGACCAATAAGGCATTCTTGGCTCGAGATCTAGATCTGCTAGAAGAAAGAATGGAGAAAGTAGCAATTTAGTTGGGGGCATATCAACAGCAGCTTGCGAGGGCTTATAATAAGAAAGTTAACCCACAAGAGTTCCAAGTCGGGGATCTCGTCCTAAGAAAGGTCGTCGGCAACAAGAAGGATCCCAGAAAGGCAAACTTGGCCTAAACTGGAAGGGACCTTATAAAATCATCTCGGTCCTGGGCAATGGGGCATATCAGCTTGAAGACAGTGAAGGCAATGAGTTGCCAAGACACTGGAATACTTGTAATCTGAAGTTTTTCTGTCATTAGATTTTTTGTTCTTGTTATTAGCCGAAATAATAATAAAGTCTTAGCTTGATTTTTCAACTTGTGTAGTATGATTGACCAATCACTTAGCGATGTTTCTGATTGAAACATGACGAATAATTTAGACTTATTATATGACAGAGTTTCTACTTGCATATAATAGAGTTGAACTAAATTGGTGATGTTTCTGATTGAAATATGACGAATAACTTAGACTTATTATATGTCAGAGTTTATACTTGCATATAATATAGTTGAACTAAGTTGGTGATGTTTCTGATTGAAACATGACGAATAACTTAGGCTTATTATATGTTAGAGTTTATACTTGCATATAATAGAGTTGAACTAAGTTGGCGATATTTCTGATTGAAACATGACGAATAACTTAGACTTCTTATATGGTAGAGTTTCTACTTGCATATAATAGAGTTGAACTAAGTTGAATTAATCTATATCAGTTAGATTAACAAGGAGACCGAGGTTAATGACCTCGGCCAGCCTCTGTTTAAATCTGATCTCGTCGACAAGATCAATGCCACATACTTAATGAGAACCCAAGTGGAACTTAAGTTCACATTAGGGGGCATAGAGCTGGAGAATGATGCTTGGAAGTTGGAATCTGCAAGCTAAGGTTGGTTTAACACTTGTTGAAATTTTGAGAAAAATTTACAAGTTGAAGTTAAGTCGGGGTCATTGGTCTAAACACTTATTGAAATTTTAAAGAACAATTTACAAGTTAAAGTTAAGCCAAAGTTATATCTACGCATTGATAAACTAAACGTAAAGTAACAAGTTGTAAATAGCACTTGTGAAAATATTATACAAAATATTTTCAAGTGTTAGGCCAAGGCTAAGATAAACAAGTCGGTGGGTATGTCCGAGGTATTTTACCCCGAAGAGATTGCACAGTTAAGGTGTATTTTGAAGACAACAAAGAAAAGAAAGCATACAAACTTACATCGGCCAAATTAAAGCTTACATTGTTTCAAAAGTAAGAAAAAAGTGCAAGGTACAAAGAAAAACATCAAAGCAGACTACTCGGCGTCGGCGGCGGACTGAAGACAGCAAAGAAAAGAAAGCATACAAACTTACAATCACATTGAAAATGCATTTAGATAAGGAAAGAAGGCACTTCGGCCTGACATTGAAGGATAGTTGTTCAGATTACAAAACAGGCACGTCGGCCAAATTAAAGCTTACATTGTTTCAAAAGTAAGAAAAAAGTGCAAGGTACAAAGAAAAACATCAAAGCAGACTACTCGGCGTCGGCGGCGGACTGAAGACAGCAAAGAAAAGAAAGCATACAAACTTACAATCACATTGAAAATGCATTTAGATAAGGAAAGAAGGCACTTCGGCCTGACATTGAAGGATAGTTGTTCAGATTACAAAACAGGCACGTCGGCCAAATTAAAGCTTACATTGTTTCAAAAGTAAGAAAAAAGTACAAGGTACAAAGAAAAACATCAAAGCAGACTACTCGGCGTCGGCGGCGGACTGTGTCTCGGCCCCAGAAGACAGTTGGGGAGACTTCTCGGTAGCCTTCTCAGTTTCGAGCTTAGCATCGATCTCCTGTAGAGTTTGATCAAGGCTCTTCTCGGCGATTGGCACCTCAGAGTTTGTCTTCTGGGGGGAGGCATCTTTTGGGACTTCATCTTCCTCATCCTGAGTCAAGTCCAAGACTTGCTCATTCAGAGTTGGGGACTTGGCCCCAGCAGCTTCTTCCGTCTTCTCGGCCTCAGCTTCCTCTTCGGACTCAATCTCAGATTGGCTTGGAGTATGGGGGAATGGTGGGACGAGTCGGCTTTCGTCCTTAAGAGGGGAGTCCTTGGGGACAGCCAGTTCTTTCAAAACAGTCATCCAACCAAGGGTGAAACCCTTGTTGCATGCCTATTTTATTTGTTTCTTGTAGTCTTCTTTGACATCGGCCGCCCCATTGACGTACGCCTTCTCATCCACCGCTTTGACCTCGGCCTCTTTTGTGGCCAAAGCAGCAATAAGTTTGACCTGGGCTTCAGCAGCCTTTGCCTCGGCCTCCTTCTTTTCGGCTTCGAGGACTTTGGCAATGGCTTCAGCGGCCCCAACCCTCTCCTTGGCCTCATCCTGAGCTTTTTTGGCTTCCTCGGCTTGGTTTATTAAAGTCTTCATCTTGGCCTTAGCCTTGTTAATGGTCTTTTGCAAACTACGAGCCTCCTTAGTCTTGTCAGCCAACTCCTTCTTAATGCTGAAGGCTTGCATTGCGAAGGAGTGGGCGTGCTGGATCCTCTAGAAGAAATGGACAGAACAAAAGTTAGTAAAATTTTCTGAGTATGAGAATTAGAGAATGTAAAGTACCAAGTGTTAGGGGCTTACTTGTATGGAGTGCTGCAACATTACAGCGAAGTTTTTATATTCGCTGACCTCGGCGTTGCGTTCAAGGTCTTTTGGGAGAAGCAAAGCCGTAGAGAGGGCAACGCCGACTTCGATGTCGGCTGTAGACGCGCCCCGAGGACTCCCGAGCTCCGCACTGCAAGGGCACAAAATCTTGTTTGCTCTCTAGCTACTACAGTTCAGACTCATGTCACAGTTCTGAATCTAATCTCACAATGTGCGATGTAAGATCGATAAATTACCAAAGAGTCCAAATCCGGCAAATCATTTTGAAAAATTGATTTTTATAAAGAAGTGTCAAACATGGACTGCTTTGCCAGATACAGAGTCGCCACCTAAATATTTTATTTTGGGGGATTTAGGAAACCCTAACTCGTGCCAAAGACCACGTGTCCGTCATCACCAAAGTTGCCTCGGCTCAGGAACTTAGGTACGAAAGGGGAAGGTCATGCAATGAGCACCCCCGCTCGCCCGATCAAAGATCGGCCTGTACTAAGCATGATATTTTGTTTTTGAAAACATATGTGTTCTTATTCCGGTTATTAACCTAGAATTACTATGTGATGCGCACAGCATACAAGTATAGACTAGATCGCCTAATTTGGAACAAAACATTGCATGTTCGTTTGAAAATGGTTTGAAGTTTACTACTCGCAAGTAGGCTAAATTAGGGATTTCAACGAATTGTTCCAATTCAAGCAATCCAACCTTCACCCACAGGCATTCAGGCAGTTAATCAAATAAGCAGTTAGCCTCATGGCAAGCATGCTATCATGGCAACATTAATACACATGCAGTATGCTAAAGCGTAAACACTCACAGTGTACTCCGAGCCAAAACAAAGAACTAGTTAGAAATCATGCATGATCCTAGTTCATGTTAAGATGGCTAATGCAACACATGCGAGAATGAAACTAAAATAGGCTCGGCTATTCTAAGATGTCTAATCGAAATATGTCCTAAAACTAACCATCGTAAGCGGTTAAGTAAAAGGGAGAAAGAAATGGAGATTGGAAGACATCCATCACACACACGCACGCTTATTATAACAATACACCCTCTCGACAGAGGGACCGAATAAGAAGCTAACTAGCCAATCTAAGCTAATTAAACTAATTATTAGAAAACAAATTGAAAAAGCTAAACGTATTAACTATTAAAGTACAAAACAAAGCATAAGCTAGCTATCTAAGCATGGCAGCTAAGGAAAGCAATAAAACAGGAGCCTTGAAAGGGAGAAGAATGCATGCATGCCCGATCGCTTCATTCGGAAATCCAATGCAATGCCCCGATTTGCCTCTGTTTGCAATTATCCTCAAAACCTTGCACCAAGCTCTAGAAAGTTGAAACTCCACCTTGGGAACCTGTGGGAGGGTGGCCAACCACTTATTGGTGTCACCAGCCACTGGACGACCACCTGTCTTTGTTGAAAACCAAAAAAAGTGGTCGGCCAGCTAGTTTTTCTGGTTGGCCGACCAGTTGTTGCTGCCAGACTGCAATTTGCTGCAACAGAGAGTAAGAAAAGGCATAACAATGTATTTGCAAGGCATGTGTGCACAACCACCCTCCCTATCATTTCATAAGCTCAAGGGAATGTGGTTCTCGACCCTCGGGCCACCAATCGCGCATTTCAACGCATGATGGCCGAGAGGCGAAGTTGCACAATTCAATATAAAAATGAATGCACAAGTAAACACATAAGGCCTAGAACTCTATCATCTATGATCAAGAGCGTCGGCACCGAGAATTGAGGCACCGTTTCATCACTTTAAGTATGAAATGCCCCTCGCTTCTCGTGTTTGGACTAACACTTATTCCACACAAAATGGAACACATAACATGGCATACACAATGCGACTCAAGCATGCAAACATGCAATAACACTGAACGAAGCATGCAAACACGCAATGCAACATGAACAACCTAACAAGTCTAATGGCATGCACAATGCACAATGCTAAGGCATGCATATTCAATGCAAGACAACATAAGCATGCAACAATATAAACAACAACTAGCATGCACAATGCAAATGAACATAGCACACACAAATGCAATGAACAATATGGCATACTCAATGCAATGACTATCATGGCATACTCAATGCAATATGATCATGGCATATACAATGCGAATCAAGAGCATGGCATGCACAATGCAAACAATAACATAACATGCACGATGCAATGTAACATGGCAGACACAATGCTCAATGGACTTAAACCAAAATGGACAGACCTCAGCCATGCCCAAATCAGTGGCCATAACACCAAAATAAAGGCACAAAACACAAAGTATGCATGCACAATGCATTGGCCAACCAAGAAGGCCTAAGAGCACAACCCTCAAGAAAGCTCAAGGAGTGCTATAATGCGGAAGTGTAACAACACTAAATGTACTGAAATTAAGTAAGAAATGATGCCAAATCATTCATTCAAGATAAGCATAGCATGCAAAGGTCCTAAAGCATGAAAGCTAGCAAAGAGGACTACAAAGGAAACATGCAATACATGGAAAATATGCATAAACCAACCATGGACAGAGCTGAAATAGGTCAAGACAATGACCAAAACATGCTAAGATGGAGGCTCAAATACCTAGGTAAGATGGCATACGTGCTAGGCCACAAACTAGGCAACAATGCACAATACTCAAAGGCACTTAAAGAGTGAATGAAGTGGGAACATGGTAATGCTATAAGCTCTGAAATGAAGTATTAAATGATGCCAAATCATCTAAATAGCTCAAAGATAGCATGCATGAGTCAACAAAACACAAAGCTAGCAAGGTCAATTGTACTACAGCTATACAAAGCATGAAGGATATGGCAAAGGCAACCCAAAACAGTCGTAGATCATGCCAAAATGATATTAAAACATGCATGAAATAAAGCCAAAATGTGCTAGCATGAAAGGCATAAGGCATGGTGAATGTAAGGCAAATAAGGTGGATTACACTACACCTATTAGGACCAAGCATGGAATGACTTAACCAACAAAAATCAGAGTTATATCATGGCAAAATAACCCCAAAAACACATTGAAAAGATGGCTCGCAAGCTAAGGCATGAAGGCATACACAATAATTCATGTTAAGGCATAAAGAGGGAAACCCTCCAACGCATTGAATGAGTGATAAATGTGAATGCATGAGCATGAAACATGGACTGAAATCACATAATAAATGATGCCAAATCAGTCAAATAGTCCAAGTAATGCATGCTAGTGGACTTGACACACAAAGCTAACAAGCTAGATTGAACCATGGCTATACAAAGCAAGTCATGCATGGCCAAAACAACTAAAATCGGAGCTAAAGCATGTTAAAACATGGACAGAAGCTTCTTAGAGTTAAGCCAAAAGCATGCTAGAATGACATGTCAAAGCATGAGGCATGTTAGGCTAATTCACGGAAATGCACTACAAGTGCATGGAGCATGCAAAGGTTGACTAAACCAAACCCTAACAGAGGTATGACATGGCAAAAAAATACCAAAAACATGCTGAAATGGAAACAAAACAAGCTAGAATGACATGCTACTTCATGAAGCATACAACACTAGTTTGTGTGATTTACACTACAAGTGTATTATGCATGCAAGGGATGACTAAACCAAGCAAAAACAGTGGTAAGCCTCAGCAAAATAACCACAAATACAAGCTAAGATATGGCCAACATAAGCTTAACAAACATGCTGACACATGAGGCATTCAAGACAAGTATTACAGACACAAGGAGAGGGGATGACCCTCTCCTTTTTGGGACCTTAAAACACCATCCCCACCACCAAAACAAGGTGATCCCAAAGCTTAAAAATAAGTCACAAGAACAAGGCCAAAGAAGGCCTAAGAGGGGGTAAACAACCCCAAACACAAAAGTGACCTTAAACAAAGATCTTAAGCACCAAAATATAGAAATTTTTGCAGTAGGAAGTTAAGCTCAAAACAGCATGCATGTAGGTTCAAAAGCTTAAGAAAAAATGGGGTTTTAAGGGTTAGAAACTCACCCTTGAAGACCACCTGTAAAGCTGCAACTCCAGCAAGTTTTTCAAGCTCAAACCAACCTAAGAACACCAAAACCAGCCCCTAAGCACCTCAGCAATAAAAGGATGGTGTTTGAGTGTGTGTGTGTTTGTGTGTTAAAGTAAGACAAAATGACACTTTAAGGCACAAAAATGAAGAAGAAGAGCAATATAGAGACAAAACTATATGTATAACTCTTGAGCCAATTTTTCTAAACCTAGAGGAGGGAGGAGGAGCTTCCCTCTTATAGAGAACAAAAGCATAAGCTTCTTGAAGAAGCTAAGACTCAAGGCCATCCATCCATACACGTGTATGGAGGATGGTTCAAATGCTCTCCAACTGTGTAAGCTGGCCCAAAATATCTCCATAAAGGTGACAAAAAGCAGTCGACCACCTAAAGTGGTCGGCTAGCTACTTAAAGGGGTCGGCCGACCACTTTAAGTGGTCTCCCAGAATAAAAACTAGTCGGCCATTGTGGGAGAGAGTCCAGAGCATGAAAACAAGCAAAAGGTGTGATGGCCGACCACTTTTGATGGTCCAAAAATCAGGGAGACCAGTTGTCAAACCAGAAAACTGGCTGGCAGGAGGAAAATGGTCTCCAACGGAAAATACTAGTCTCCCACCCATGTACCACCTTCCAAACAAGGAAAACAAGGTTTGTATCAAAAAACAAACCAAAACGGATGCAAGACGAAAGTTCGGGAGGCAAAGCGCGCAGCTGGAAGCCTCGAAAACTAGCTGTTGAGCACCAGAAGTGGTTTACGACAACAAAAGTGGTCTCCAAAACCACAGTGGACCTCTAGGCCAAGGAAACAAGGTGTGGTTCAAAAACCATGCCAAACGGAG